TTAAAAATAGATAAAACAATTGGGCCCAGAGGACACATCATCTAACACACGTACTCGGCCCTTTCCCTCCCTCTTCCTAACCCCAACACACATCCACTTGGGCTTGAAAATTGTTTGGCACTACTGTCACCTCCTAACAACTAGTAAGTACTGATGGCTAGCCAATGAAATAAGCCAGGATTCAGGTTTCGTCACTGTGTTTCGTCTTTCTTCCCTCATTAATAAGTATATAAAACAACACATATTTTTCGGGGCCAGCCCCATGGCCGAGTGGTTAAGTTTGCGCGCTCCGCTTCGGCGGCCCAGGGTTTCGCCGGTTCGAATCCTGGGCGAGGACATGGCACCGCTCATCAGGCCATGCTGGGGAGGCATCCCCGCGTGCCACAGTTGGAGGGACCCACAACTAAAAATACACAACTATGTACCAGGGGGCTTTGGGGAGAAAAAGGAAACATTTTAAAAATCTTAAAAAAAACACACATATTTTTCATATTTTCTATATTTCCCCAAACTTATTTTTCACCAAAAGCAAAACAATGACTTACGGCCCTTTTCTTAAGAACTATAGGCAATTAATTTGTACTTATTCAAGTCATGCAATTTTTCCAAAGTGAGAATCATTTAGTTTACATTTTATGCCTTCCTAATTCTATGAGTGTTTAAAAAGTGTATGATAGGCTACAGATTATTTAAAAAGTGAAGTCTTATTTCTAACAGACAGTGTGGAAACAAACTTTAGGGACTTAAAGGTTCATATGAATTGACTTGGTTGAACACATTTCTCTCCCTCTTCTTACCCAACAAAACTTTAGAAACCATCCCCTCTTACGCCCAAAATATTTTACTTTGTATTAATTATTTATGCACCTGCCTCCCGAAAAGATTAAATTCTTTCAGAACTTGTAACATATCGCATATAGCCTAGATGCAAAATTCATCCATTCACTTACTGAACACCTTAAAGTATCAAAACAGTATTTCCTAAGTTTTTAAGATGTAATGATGAATAAATAAGGCAGCCCCTTCAACTCAAGTTCAGACCCAGAGGAGGAACTCTAACTAGCCTACTAAATGTGTAGGGGTAGCACAAGAGAAATGGAGCTAAGAAACAAAATGATCAAAAGTTGAAGCAGCAATAAAAAAAAAAAATACACAGGATAAAAACAGAGCCATAATTCTACACAGGAACCAGACGTGTTTTGGTTAGAGGGCAAACAGCTATACTGACAATAGTTTGTCAGGGTGAACTGGCTAGAACAGTACACACGAAGCCCCAGGAGAATACCCAGGAACAGCGCAAGGTAATTTAAATAGCTCTCTAAATGCAAAATGGAACCTCCTTACAAGAGTAAAGAAAAAATTCAATAAACCTTAGCAGTGATTTTGCTTGTCTATAATCATTTCCCTCTTTCAAAGGGCACAAAGCTAGAGATGCAGTACCAAGAAGGAAATGACCATCCATATTTTTGAGCAACAAATAGAAGATAGTATCAGGTTTATTTAACAAACTATTTTTTTGAGCTTCAATACTAAACCTAAAAGAAATCCACACCTTATATGTTGTAGGATTCTTTGCCCATCCCACCCCCTGGAATCTTTCCAAAGTAAATCCATGATTCAGAGCGGTTTTAACTTTTTTCTTATTATTCTTCAATTTTGTTTAGTCTCTTTTTCTTGTCCATCGTTTCAGGTCATTTTAGGCACTCTCTTTTCTGCTAAATTTTCATTGACTCTTGTCTATACATCAAGCAAGGTAGTTGATTCACATTTTAATTACGTCACTCTGAAGTATCACTTAATTACCATTTCAGTTAAAGTTGAATATCTGGGATATGCCTCAAAGTAACGGGGGTGGGGAGAGCAAGTGAAAGTGCAGAGCAAACGAGATTAACCATGAGTTGAAGCTCTATTTTTTGGCATCTTTGAAATGTATCATTACAAAGTTAAAGAAAAGACAATATGAAGATGACTCTGCCGGCAATCAGACGTCAAAAAATATGTTTTTAGACTGACAGAAAAAAGATCCAGGAGCCACTGTAAAGGCTGGGATACGCTGAGCATCAAAAGAAAAACAGCTATAGCTGATTTTAAACTAAAATACAAGAAACTCATGAGTCCACAGTAATAATCTTTAAAAAGGAGAAAGAAAAGGGAAAAAAACCAGGAAATTTCTTCTTCACAGAAAAACACGAGCCAGTAAATAGAGACAGAATAACAGAATTTTTTTAAAACCACCATTTGTCACCTCCAATGTAATAACTGATTTATTAAAGGATTACCAATTGATGATAAATAACTAGGCGAAAGGTTATAGAGGAATACACTGTCAATCCACAGATTACCAACTGCAAAAGGGGAAATAATTCTTTACAATGAAGAGATCCACAGTGATCACCCTCATCAAGTGATCAAACTTAACCATCACAAAAAGTGGAACAACCTAGCATGAAGTGCCTTTGGATGCAATGTTACAAAGTATTCTATCCAAAAATATTTAAGCCAAGTATTATCAAAGCTCTGAGCTTACACATAACCATAAAGTTTTCAGGAAATACAGAAGACGAAGGGACAAGTTAAATGACACCACACATACACAAATCAAATGAACCCAGAAAATAAGTTCAACAGGAAAACTGTCCTGGATTCTTCACAGACACTACCCTAGGGGAGAAAAATCTGGAGCAACTATTCATGAGACAATCAAATGATGCAATGTAAACCTAGATTAGATTCTGATTTTAAAAAATGCAAAACTGTATGAATCACATTCTTGGGACAATCAGGGAAATTTGAATACGGACTGGATTTTAGAAATGATACAGGACTGCTATTAATTTTCTTAAGTGGGAAAATGGTATTACGGTTATACATAACGGAATTAACGTCTGTATATAAGAGAATACTGAAATATGTGTCAACTTAGTTTCACATACATATGTATGGAGAAAGCAAATATAGCAAAACGTTTAACAACTGTTGATTGTAAGTGAAGAATTGTACTGTAGGTGTCATTGCACTTTTCTTTCAACTTTTCTCTAAATTTTGCACTGTAAAACTTTTAGCTCTGAAAGTTTTCACTACCTGCTCTCTCGTTTAAAATGCCACAATTCTGAAATATTCAAGGTCGTGGCAACATTTCAGTGTCTTTACAATTTAAATTTAAGAATTAACAAAGAATTGCAGAAACTTTCAATGAAACCTCAGTACATTACTCCTCTTCGATTTTCAGATGACAAAATAAGAGCCCAGAAAAAGAAAAAGGGTATGTATACATAAACAGATTTGATATAATAATTTTAAGATTTTGCATTTTTGACTATCCTAAGGGCATGTAAAACGTAAACACTGCGAGGATTTCAGAACTGAAATCAAACGACGAGCAAACACAAAATCTAGTTCAGCCAAACTCTACAGACATGATGAAATTTAGTCACCCAGACTACTCAATAGGAACGCTCGTTTTGCCTCATCTCTGTCAACCTCCAAGACCAGCCTCCACGTTACAAGCCGGGGACTTGAAAAACGAAAACCTTAGTGTATTTCGTTGCTACGGCAACGGGAAATTTCAAGAAACTGAGACTCTGCAGTCTTGCAGACCTCCATTTTAAAAACTATTTACCTAAACATACCACGACTTAAATCGAAAAACAAACTGAATGATACCTTTTAACATATCAGCTTCCTCTTTCAAACTAAAAGGTAAATACTATCCTACAAAATTCTGAATAAAGAGCAAAGGAAACAAATCGTTTATCTAAAAATCTGAATTTAAAAATACTTAAATGTCGCTTACACCCAATATTAAAAAAGATGCTTTTATCTACAGTGGCCAAAACAGACTTCTCATTTCCGATTTATCAAATTCTGCAATATGTGCATCGCTGGAAAACAGAAAATGAAAGGTGGATATAAGAGAGAGAAAGAAGGAAGCGGGAGAAAGCCACAAAATTCCCAAATCCCAGCATAACCATGCTATACTTCCAGCCTCCTTCCTTCGCTCTGACAATCTATTTCTCCAAATGAGTTGCATCGCAGATTAGTTTTCCAACTAGTAACCTACTTCTGAGTACCGCACATACTGGAGAGGGAACACTGTCAAGTTTTCCGAAAACAGCGAGTCCACGTTAAAATAATGAATTCCTACCCACCCTAACATCAAAACGGTATCAAAGGCAGGCGTCGCACCGGAGCAGCGCCACGAACCTAAACGGGAAGCGCTCCCCGGCTATTGTCTAAACCAAGTATTTGTTCCTACTGGCGCCTAAGCCAGAGAAGTCCAGAGAGAACTTTAAACCCTGGTCAGATCTTGTTTCCCACTCCCACGGCCCCTGTGCACGCGGGCCTGCGGTTCTCGAGACCCCTGACTCCTTCCTCAGGCGAACACGGCTGCAGTCCTCGGACCAAGGGAGACGGAGGGAAGAGGTCGCCACGAGGCCCCACCACTCTCCTTCCTCACCTGCTCCGTGGCTCCGTCTCCTGACATGGCCTCAGCTGATTAAAACGTGCGACCTGGCCCGCGATGCGAAGCTAGAAAAGAAAATTTAAACTAAAACCCACTCCTAAACCAGTAAAGTTAGCCCTGCCCAGCGGAGCCAGACCGCCAACACGAATCGCCACCGCCCACTCAGATATGAATTAAAATGGCTGCGCCCCTGCCGGCCGAAGAGGGAGGTGTGGCTTCTACATTCACTTCCGGGGCAGTGGGCGGAGCCGAGTGCACCTCGCCGGTTACTCGGCCGCGCAGAAGCAGAGAGCTCCCCGGGGCGGGCCCGAGGCGAGCGCGCACGTCACGGCCCTGGGCGGAAGAGGCTGTCGCTGAGCTGGCTGCCGCCGGCGGGAGGACGAAGCTGTTCCGCCCGGAGGCCCGCGCGCCTTCTGGGGCTTCATCGTCTGGCGGCGGAGCCTGAGTCCGCTGCTCCCGTGGCCACCCGTCGGTTCGGCTCAGGCAGATGGCCCGCTAGGGAGCAGCGCTGCGCGAACGACGCCCGTGTGTGGGAGATGAGGAACCCGCCGAGTCTGGCGCGGCCTCCGCGGACGCCTTCGACGCCGCGTGGGCCGGGAGGGCAGACGCGCCCACGCGGAAGCGCGCCTGCGCGGCGGAGGCGGCCCGCGGGAGCGGGGCTTCCCTCGCGGGCGGTGGCCTCGGGCGTGTGACGGGCTCCGAGCCTCGCTTCCGTAGCGCCTGCGGCCGCAGTGAGGTACGCGGGAAAGGCGCTGGGACAGCGGCCGGCGCGGCTGCAGACAGAGCAGGAACGGCTCCCCAGGTCTTCGTTCCGGCGGCGCCCCCGCCTGCCCGCCGCGCCCCCCGCGGACCCGCCCGCGCCTCTGCTCGGTGGTCCTCTCCGCCCGTCGGCAGCGTGAATTCCCCGGGCGGTCAGGCGCAGGGCAGGTGTGTGTTAACACGTGTTCACCGCGCCCTCCAACCCTGGAGGACTAGCTGTCTCTCTACGATGTAATGTGCAGTCGGCAACTGGTGCTAACGTCATTACTGACGGAAAAAACATCCATGACGGTGTCAAGTGAAAAAACAGAACCCAAAATAGTGTGCATTAAGTAGGATGTGCAGTGTATGTATAGTATACACATAGTACCTCGAACATTAAAAGTAATTTCTAGATTGTAACATGTTTTAGTTTTTTACCTGTTTGAGTTTGCCTATGATGAACTAATGTAAGAACAGTCTTTAAGAATAGTTTTCATATTCTATTCTTCAAAGTTTGATTCACAGGCCATTTTTTCCCAATATTTTTAATGAAAAAAATCTTCAGAGATAAAAATTCAAAGAATAGGGGCCGGCCTGGTGGCTCAGCGGTTCCGCTTAGGAGGGGGGCCCAGGGCTCGTGGGTTTAGATCATGGGTCGCAGGTGGTACCGCCTGGCAAGCCATGCTGTGGCGGAATCCCACATGTGAAATAGAGGAAGATGGGCAGGGTGTTAGCTCAGGGCCAGTCTTCCTTAGCAGAAAGGAGGATGGGCAGCAGATGTTAGCTCAGTGTTGATCTTCCTCAAAAAAAAATTGAGAGTAATACAGTAGATAACTGTGCTGTATACCCAGCACCTTGATCTAGTGACTAACATTTTCGCATGTTTGCTTCGTATGTATGTGTGTATTGATATAGTTTGTATTTTTGCAAAATAATTTGAAAGTAAATTGCAGACATCATGACACTTCATCCCAAAAGAAATCAGTTTGTGTTTTCTCAAAATGACATTCTTCGTATCTACAGTACCATTATCATCATAATTTCCTAATATTTACTATTCGGTCCACATTTGAATTTTCCCAGGTATCCCAAGATTGTCTTTAGAGGAGGTCTTTACAAGTCAGAATCCAGTCCAGTTTCAAGCATTGCATTCTGTTGTGATATCTCTTCAGTCTCTTATTCTCCACTCATCTTTTTATTCTTTATGAATTTTTTAAGAGAGCTGGCCAGTTGTGTCGAGGAATGTTCTGTATTCTGGATACATCCAAAGTGTGCTTAGGGAGTGCTTAGATTCAGGTTAAACATTTTGGCCAGAATATGTCATTGATAGAGCTATGTCCTTTATTTTGTACCACATCGGGAGAAACATCGAACTCCTAATTTGACGCTAAGTGTGATCACTTGTTTAAGGTGGAGACCATCGGATCTCTCATTAGGGACATTTCACTTTTTGTAGTTAACAAGTAGTCGCAGAGTAAGACTTGAGCACCGTGTCAATTTCCTGCTCCCCAGCAAATTTTCACCATCGTTTGGTCATCTATTGATGAATCTTTCCTGAAATAACGAGATACTTAGTGATTAAATAATAATTTTGTAATTCTATTATTCCTTCTGCATCAACAGAAAGCTCTTCTGTGAAAAAGAACTGTTCCCCATTAACCTTTAAAAACCAGGTTAAATGCTTAATTTTTTCTCTTTAATGACCAGTTTTCACAGTAGAGAGTTTAATATTAAACTTCAAGCGTTAATATTAAGCTTCAAGTAGTGAAAAATGAATTTTTTTTCTGGCTTTCTCTTTTTGAGTATCGTTATGGATTTATGAGTTTTTTCAGAATTAAGTTGTTTCAATCAATTGTAATCGTCATTCTTTTGGGGCCAGTATGAGTCCCTTCATACGGGATGAGGGGAACCTACGTCTTTTTGACATGATGCCGTTAGTCTTGGACAACTTCCTGGCCTATTGGCACAGGATGTCCCAGACCCACTTACGTCCTTTCCCTGTCACAGACCTGTACATTCCTTGTCACACGCTTGGATTCAGTCTCAGATATCCTGGTTCCTTCAGTTTGGGAATAGTAATTAGAACCAAGATGTGGGCAATACATGTTGTCTTTTCTACTGGATGTCACTGCTTCTAGGCCTGTTCAGTGTTCAGAGACAGGAAATACATTTTTTAAATTATGAGTTCATATATTGATTTCCAATTCAAATTTAGCATTTTTTTCTTTATTGATTTTACATTTGCATCTCTTTTCTCTTAGACTGAAAATCTTGGTTAATACAAAATATATTTAAAAGTTTCTAAATTAGAATACCAATACTACAATATCAATAACAATACATTTGCCAAGTGAGGTTTAAGATTTCTTTAAAGTTCTTTTTGTCCTTAGCTTATGTTATATTAAGGATGTTCAGTCAGAAGGCCTTGTACAAAAAAGTCAATTAAATAGTTCTTATCTCTTAGTTTACATGAGCAATTTGACATATAGTTGAGTTCAATTTTCCATTTGTTTTCAATTTTAATGTTTGCTTTTTTAGATGTACTTTATTTTTAAATATAAAAACCCCATTATTTGCTCAAAAATCAAAACTGTATAAAAAGTTATCCTCAGGCAAGTTTCACTTCAATCTCTACCCCCTCCGCCTGCCTAACCTCGTTCCCATCCTCTTTAGGGAACCATTTTTATTAGTTTCCAGTTTAATCTTTCTAGGGTTTCTTTTTTGCAAGAATAAGCAATGCATATATTTCACCTTATTTCTTTCATAAAAGGTACACTATTGTGCACTTTTTTCACTTAGTATATTGTGGATGTCACTCCCCACCAATAAAGTAGGGAGTGAAATGATGAAAATAAAGATTTTCTTCAATCTTTTTTTTAACATTTGCATAGTACTTCACTGTATGGATGTACCACAGCTTACACAACCCTGTTGATGGATATCTGTGTTGTTTCCAATTCTTTGCTATACAAATACTGCTTCAACAAATGATCTTGTGCATATGTTGTTTTATATTTACGGATATATATCCTCAGGATACGTTCCTAAAAGTGGGATTGCTGAATCAAAGGGTAAATAGACATGTATTTTATTAGATCTTACCAAACTTCCTTCCGTGGGAATTGTGCCATTTTACACCCCAAAATCAGTGCATTTCTTTTTCCCACAGCTTCTTCAGCAGTGTATTGTCAAACTTGGGTTTTTGCCAGTCTGATAGGTAAGTAGTGGTATCTCAGTATAGTTTTATTCACATTTCTTTTAGTACAAGTGAAACTATGACCTTTTCATAGATGTTAGGGTCATTGTCTTTTACTCTGAACTGTCCATGTCTTTTTGCCCATTTTTCTATTTATTTTTCATCTTCATTGTCTTGATTTTTAAGAGTACTCGGTATTATAGAGATTAACTCTTCAGGTGTTATATAGGTTGCAAATATTTCATCCCTATTTCTCATTTATCTTTAAATTGTGCTTATGTGTTTTGGGGCGGGGGAAGAGGTTGGTATTTTTTGTGTCATGTGAAAAAAATGTTTTGTAATTGTTATGTAGTAAATTTATCAATCTTTTATCGCTCTGGATCTTGAGACCAAGATAGAAGGGCTTTCTCCATTCCCAGGTAATAAATTCATCCGTGATTTTAGAACTATTTCAATGGTTTTCTTTTTTCCTTGTAGAGTTGTCAGCATTGACAAATAAAAATACAGCACAATCAGTTAAATTTGAATTTCATATAAACAAGAAATAATTTTTTTAGGGGCTGGCCCCATGGCTGAGTGGTTGACTTTCTCCAGGGTTTCGCCAGTTCAGATCCTGGGCACGGACCTACCCAGCACTCATCAAGCCATGCTGATGTGGCGTCCCACATGGCAGAGCCGGAAGGACGTACAACTAGAATATACAACTATGTACTTGGGGGCATTGGGGAGAAGAAGAAAGAGGAAAAAAAGGAAGAAGATTGGCAGCAGATGTTAGCTCAGGTGCCAATCTAACAATAATAATAATAATTGTTTATATAAGTATGTCCCAATGGGCAAATGTAGGCAACTACATTTGGTTCTGTGATCCATTTAGAGTTTATGCTGGTGTATAACAGCCAGTATGAGTCCAATTTTATCTTCTTCCAAATGCAAGTTTTATTTTCAGAAAGTAATTTTTAATGAAAGAGGAGTTTAAAATAAATTAATGACAGTATGACGTTTTGCCCCTGAATGCTATGTTTTGCATATTTTATTTTATTTTTTATTGCAGTAACATTGGATTATAACGTTTTATAACTTTCAGGCGTACATCGTAATATATTTCAAATTCTGTGTAGATCACATCACGTTCACCACCCAAAGACTAATTACCATCCATCTCCACACATTTGTGCCTAATCACCTCTTTCGCCCTCCCCACTTCCCCCTTCCCCTCTGGTAACCACCAATCCAATCTCTGCTGCTATGTGTTTGTTTGTCATTGTTTTTATCTTCTACTTATGAGTGAGATCATATGGTATTTGACTTTCTCCCTCTGACTTTTTTCACTCAGCCTAATACCCTCAAGGTCCATCCATGTTGTCACAAATGGCTGGATTTCATCATTTCTTATGGCTGAGTAGTATTCCATTGTGTATATATATCACAACTTCTTTGTCCATTCGTCCCTTGGAGGGCACCTAGGTTGCTTCCAAGTCTTGGCTATTATGAATAATGCTCTGATGAACATAAGGGTGCATGTACCTTTATGCATTCGTGTTTTCAAGTTCTTTGGATAAATACCCAGCAGTGGAATAGCTGGGTCATATGGTAGATCTGTTCTTAATTTTCTGAGGAAACTCCATACTGTTTTCCATAGTGGCTGCACCAGTTTGCACTCCCACCAGCAGTGTACGAGGGTTCGCTTCTCTCCACATCCTCTCCAACATTTGTTGTTTCTTGTCTTGTTAATTATAGCCATTCTGACGGGAATGAGGTGATATCTTATTGTGGTTTTGACTTGCATTTCCCTAATAGTTAATGATGTTGAACATCTTTTACATGCCTGTTGGCCATCTGTATATCTTCTTTGGAGAAATCTCTGTTCAGATCTTTTGCCCATGTTTTAATTGGTTTGTTGGGTTTTTTCTTCTTGAGACGTATAAGTTCTTTGTATATTTTGAATATTAACCCCTTATCAGATATATGGCTTGCAAGTATCTTCCCTCAATTGTTAGGTTGTCTTTTCATTTTGTTGATGGTTTCCTTTGCTGTGCAGAAGGTTTTAGTTTCATGTAGTCCCATTTAGTTTTTCTTTTGTTTCCATTGCCCAGTCAGACATGGTACTTGAAAATGTGCTGCTAAGACCTATGTCAAAGAGCATACTGGCTATGTTTTCTTCTAGAAGTTTCATGGTTTCAGATCTTGCATTCAAGTCTTTAATCCATTTTGAGTTGATTTTTACTGTAAGATAATGGTCTACTTTCATTCTTTTGCATGTGGCTGTCCAGTTTTCCCAACACCATTTATTGAAGAGACTCTCCTGTCTCCATTGTATGCTCTTGGCTCCCTGTCAAAAATTAGCTATCCGTATATGTGTAGGTTTATTTCTGGGATCTCGATTCTGTTCCATTGATCTGTGTGTCTGTTTTTGTGCCGGTACCATGCTGCTTTAGTTACTATAGCTTTGTAGTATAATTGAAATCAGGGAGTGTGATACCGCCAGCTTTCTTCTTTTTCCTCAGGAATCCTTTGGCTATTCAGGGTCTTTTGTTGTTCCATATACATTTTAAGATTCTTTGTTCTATTTCTGTGAAAGATGTTATTGGAACTTTCATAGGGATTGCATTGAATCTATAGATTGCTTTAGGAAGTATGGACATTTTAATGATGTTAATTTTTCCAATCCAAGAGCACAGAATATCTTTCCATTTCTTTGTGTCTTCTTCAGTTTCTTTCAGCAATGGTTTATAGTTTTCGGTGTACAGATCTTTCACCTCTTTGGTTCAGTTTATTCCTAGATATTTTAGTCTTTTTTTCCATTGTAAATGGGGTTATATTCTTAATTTCTCTTTCTGCTACTTTGTTGTTAGTGTGTAGAAACACAGCTAATTTTTGTGTGTTGATTTTGTATCCTGCGACTTGACTGTATTCATTTATTATTTCTCAAAGTTTTTTAGTGGATTCTTTAGGGTTTTCTAAATATAAAATCATGTCATTTGCAAATAATGACGGTTTTACTTCTTCCTTTCCAGTGTGGATCCCTTTTATTTCTTTTTCTTGCCTGATTGCTCTGGCTGGGCCTTCCAATACTATGTTAAATAAGAGTGGTGACAGTGGGCATCCTTGTCTGGTTCCTGTTCTTAGAGGGATATCTTTCAGTTTTTCTCCATTGAGAATGATATTTGCTGTGGGTTTGTCATATATGGCCTTTATTATGTTGAGGTATTTTCCTTCTATACCTATTTTATTTAGATTTTTTATCATAAATGGATGCTGTATCTTGTCCAGTGCTTTCTCTGCATCTATTGAGATAATCGTGTGATTTTTATTCTTCATTTTGTTAATGTGATGTATCACGTTGATAGATTTGTGGATGTTGAACCATCCCTGGATCCCTGGAATGAAACTCACTTGTTCATGGTGTATGATCTTTTTAATGTACTGTTATAGTTGATTTGCTAGTATTTTGTTGAGGATTTTTGCATTGATATTCATCAGTGATATTGGCCTATAATTTCCTTTTTTTGTTTTGTCCTTGTCTGGTTTTGGTGTCAGGGTAATGTTGGCCTCATAGAATGAATTAAGAAGTTTCCCCTCCTCTTCAATTTTTTGACACAGTTTCAGAAGGATAGGTATTAAATCTTCTTTGACTGTTTGGTAGAATTCACCAAGGAAGCCATCTGGACCTGGACTTTTATTTTGGGGGAGGTTTTTGATTACTGTTTCAATCTCCTTACTGGTGACTGATCTATTCAAATTCTCTGCTTCTTCTTGATCCAATTTTGGAAGGTTTTATGATTCTAAGAATTTATCCATTTCTTATAGATTATCCAATTTATTGGCATATAGCCTTTCATAGTATTCTCTTATAATCTTTTGTATTTCTGAGGTGTCCGTTGTAATTTCTCCTCTTTCATTTCTGATTTTGTTTATTTGAGCCTTCTCTCTTTTTTTCTTGGTGAGTCCAGCTAAAGGTTTGTCAATTTTGTTTAACTTTTCAAAGAACCAGCTCTTGGTTTCATTAATTTTTTCTATTTTTTTTAGTCTCTATTTTGTTTATTTCTGCTCTGATTTTTATTATGTCCTTTCTTTTGCTGATTTGGGGCTTCATTTGTTGTTCTTTTTCCAGTTCCTTTAAGTGCACTGTTAGATTGTTTATTTGTGATTTTTCTTGTTTGTGAGGTAGGCCTGAATAACTATAAATTTCCCTCTTAGAACCACTTTTGCTGTTTCCCATAGATTTTGCCATGTTGTATTTTCATTTTCATTTGTCTCCATGTATTTTTTTATTTCTCCTTTGATTTCTTCATTGGCCCAGTCATTGTTCATTTTGTTTAATCTCCACATTTTTGTGGCTTCTCTGGTTTTCTTCCTGTAGTTGATTTCTAGTTTCATACTGTTGTGGTCAGAAAAGATGCTTGGTATTATTTCTCTCTTCTTAAATTTATTGAGACTTGTTTTGTGGCCTAACATGTGATCAGTCCTGGAGAATGGTCCATGTGCATTTGAAAAGAATGTGTTCTGCAGGTTTTTTTTCTTTTCTGTTCTTTTCTTTTCTCTCTTTTCTTTTTTTTTTTTTTTGATGAAGATTAGCACTGAGCTAACATCTGCTGTCAATCCTCCTCTTTTTGCTGAGGAAGACTGGCCCTGAGCTAACATCTGTGCCCATCTTCCTCTACTTTATATGTGGGATGCCTGCCACAGCATGGCTTGCCAAGCGGTGCCATGTCTGCACCCGGGGTACGAACCGGCAAACCCCGGGCTTCTGAAATGGAACTTGCACACTTAACTGCTGCGCCACCAGGCCAGCCCTGTTCTGTGGTTTTTTGATGGAATGTATTGTATATATCTAAGTCCATCTGGTCCAATGTGTCATTTAAGGCCACTGTTTCCTTATTGATCTTCTGTTTGAATGATCCATCCATTGGTGTAAGTGGAGTGTTAAAGTCCCCTACTATTATTGTATTACTGTCCTGTCTATTTTTCTTCTTATGTCTATTAATAATTGCTTTATATATTTCGGTGCTCCTATGTTGGGT